AGCGGGGAAATGGCTCTGTCACCCAAAACTCCACCCACAGGAACCCCAGCTCTGGCTGGAGCATGGAGGTGGTCCACCAGAAAGGCCACTGGCCAGCCTTGACCGTAGTAACTTCACTTGCAGAGCCTGGCTTCCTGGGGATGTGGGCGGCTTGGACAGCTTCATGTCTTCGAGAGCCTTCCCTGGTGACCTCAGCTGCCAAGAGATTCTGCACATTTTCTCAAGAAAACTTAGAACATTTCTCAGCCAGTGGGAAGAGCCTAGGTCTTGGGGACCATCAAGCACATTTTCTTGAGAAAACTTGGAACATTTCTCAGCCAATGGGAATGGGCACCACCCAGCATTGACTGCTCGGTGATGGCAGATTCCAGCCCAGAGAAGGGGAGGGAAGCAGGCCCCTCGCAGGCCGGGACAGGTTGGAAGGGCTGGGGAGGGAGCAATCCCTACAGGGCTGGGGTTGGAGGTAGTCTCTAGAAGAGGTCTGAAAGGGGAAGATTGGGCCTGGTGGAGAAGGGGCTGGGCTGGCATGGCTTGGCCTCTCTAGTGGGGCTGGGGCTCGGAGTGCAGGGTAGAGAGGTGAGGCCAGACTGTGGCAGGGGCCTCAGACACCAAGGTAAGGATCCTGATGTTATCCTCAGGGAAGTGGGAGCCGCAGAAGGGTGGAAGCCTGGGAGGGGCTGGGTTGACCACAGAAGGCAGATGGCGGCGAGAGGAAGGGCAGGGAGGCTGTTGGGCCTTGTTGAGCTGGTCTTGGCAAGGAGTCACTGAGGCCCAGCCCAGGGTGAGCCAGTCCTGGGCAACGCCCCCACCTCCACTGTTATCCTGACATGTTGACTATGCTTCCAGTGAGACTTGGCTTGAAAGCGGGGCTTGGGGAACTCTGGTGTCAGGAGTGGCTGTGGAACCCACAGGATGGACATAGGCTGGACATCTGTGGCCACATCTGAGAGGTGGGGTGGAGTGTGCCCACTGGCAGCCCAGACAGCTCTGCCCCGTGCGGCTGTGGTCCCTTGGGCCTCCTAAAGACAGACAGGGCCGGAGTGAGACAGGGGACCCTGTTACGTTCCCAAGCCAGCTTGGTGGCCTTTTAGGGAAGTTTTGCTGAGGCCTGATGCTCATGGCTTCCCCGTGATTTACGAGGGATGTGTCCTGGGGAGGATTATGGATGCTGGGTCAGCCCAGGGAGGTGGGGGGCTCCTCTTGCCCCACCTCCTGGCTCTGCCCAGGTGTGGCTGAGGAGCCGTCAGGCGGAGGCCTGTGGGCCAGACAGAGGGGAGGGGAGACCTGGAGAGACTGGGTGGGGACAGATCTGGGAGGCTCCAAACATGGGGTGGGCTTGGAGTTTATTCTGATGGCAGTTGGAGAGCCATCAAAGGGAATGACGGGCTGGATCTGAGTGTGATGCCAGGGACAGGGGAGTGATGGGGAGGTCAGGTAAGGTGGGACCGAGGGCGCTTGAGGCCTGGCGGGGGCAGCAGAGGACCAAATGAGCTCAGGAGATGCAGGTGGTGAAACCAGCAGACCTGGGTATGTGGGATGGGCGAAGTGTCAAGGATGGCCTTGGTTTCTGGGCCTCATGATGGTGGGTAGTGGTCCCCCAAACTGGAAACCAAGAAAAGAATCATCATCGGGTGGTCAGGGATGGAGAGGGTTGACAGGACACTCAAGTGAAGGAAGCCCCAGGGACATCCAGGGGGATGTGGCCGGGCTGGGGGCCGATCAAGAGATGCTGTGGGGGAGTGGGGCTGTCCCGGGAGAAGTGGAGGATGAAGGGGTCAGAAGGATGGGGCTGCCTGGATGTATGCTCTCATACGTAACGTACGTCTTAACACACTCTCGGTTTTTCTTCCAGAAGAAAAGGGCCAGAAGTGAGTGTCGGGAGCAGAGTGGAGTCTCCATGTACCTCAGAGTGACGGTGCCCAAGCATGCCCCCACCCCTGCCCCACCTCCACGCTCGCCCGCTTACTCACTGGGCCCGGCCACTGTCCGAAGGGCCATCCCCAGGCCCCCTCCCAGTGTCCCTGTCCCCACTCGCATCGCCTGGGAGCTCTGTGATTCATGTCTCTGGGGCTTTCCTGGAAAGTTCGTCCCTGAAGCTCTGGCCCAGGAGCTGCAGCCCGGGAGGGGCCTGCCCAGAAGCCCGAGCTGGCGGCAGAACCAGCGATGCGGAGCCCCCACCCCCAAAGCCACAGGCACATTCTGGAGCCTGCCACCCTGTGCTCAGCAGCTGGACATTTACTTGCTGACCTGCCTTTCTGCACTGACGGAGGACTCCCGGGACCCGCTCAGACCTCTCTCTCGGTGCCTGGTCTGGGGCCTGGTCAACGGGGTGAGGAGGGGACATCTGGGCCCAGCTGTGCACAGCAAGGGCAGACAGCCCCCTCCACTCTGCCTCCACAAAGCTGGCTCCTGAGGGCTTGAGCCTGCTTCTGTTTATATGTGTGGGGCCTGTTTCTGTTTATATGTCAGAGAGAGGGACACAAGAATGGGGGGTGAGGGCTGAGCAAGGACCCCCTCCCCTGGGAGCCAGCCAGCCTGCCTGCCTGAGCTCAGCGCACTCCCAGACCCAGGTTTCCCTGTCCAAGCAAACGAGATGTGCCAGCTCTGTGCTGTGATGCCCGCTCTGCCAAGCCGAGGACGGATTTGCCTCCGTGTCCCTGGCACCTGAGCCCCGAGACGTCCTTGGGACCCTGAACACTGTGCCCTACAGCCCACCCGGTGCACTGCCATCTCGAGGTCTGCACAGCTGGGTGGTTCTGGGTCCTCTGGACTCTTGGCCTTGCTCTTTGCCCCTCGCCCCACTCATCCATGAGCTGAAAGGGTGTCACTAAGCATGGTTAGTTACCCAGGGCACTTCCTCTCCCTCCCTCCTTGCTGGAGGAACGCATGTGCTTGTGGATCATGTCCATTGATAGGAAAAGAGCCTGGAGGGACAGAAATGTTGTCTTAACTCAGCTTTTCCCCTTTGGCAAAAATTAGCTAGGCGCAGAAGAAGGCAGTGAGGAAATGGCTGCATCCTCGCCCCTCCTGGAGAGCATACAGTGGTGGTTTTATATGTAAATCAAGACTCACATCCCTGCCCTGGCCCCCAGAATCAAGAGCCCCCTCAGCCTGCCTTACAGACAGATGGGCTCCCCGTTCTGTGGGGCTCACCCGCTGCCCCCAGAGATTCTCCTTGTCTTTCCTGCTGGGGGCAGGGGGATCTGAGGAGGGCAGGGCCCGTACCCACCTGCGGACATGCTGTTGGGCAGAGAAATAAAGGTTGAGTGTCTAGGGCAATGAGGGCCATCAGAGTCTGTTTCCTGGAGAGCTGTTCCCTTCTGCCCCACCACCTCATGTCTACCTGGGTGCTCCCACCACCTGTGCAACCCCCACCCCACCCCCGCCACTGCAGGAGCTGTGAGCAAAGCTCTGGGGCTCCCACGCCGCCAGCCAGCTGGGGGTCCTGTCCTCTGACCAGGCCCCAGGGAGGCACTGACATCCGGAGCCACACCCCGGTAGCAGAGGCGGGACTGCCTTCTCGCGTGCACAGCACTTGGCAGTTTGTTCACGTGGTCAAAGCCCTTTACACACATAATGATTCCAGGAAAACAGAGGCTGGGAGGGGTCTGTGACTAGGTGCCCCTGGAACCTGCAGGGGCCCCAACCCTGGCTGTTTCATGGGTACCGCACCTCTCCAAGGTTTTCCTCTTGCTCTGTTTTCCTCTCCTCCTTGGATCCCAGGATACCTTCCACCTCGTCCTCCATCCTTTGGGGCCCAGCTGGAATGCACCTCCCTGAGGCTTCCCTCAACTCACACTGTCCTGGGGCCTTGGGGCCTCGTGAGGCTGCTTGACATTAACTCCTGACTTGCCCACGTGGCCCTGCCCTCCGGGAGTGGGGGCTCTGGGAAGGGAAGAGCCTGGTCCCCCTACCTCCTTCGTTTCCTCTTCTGAAGGGAGACTTACAGAAGTTCTGTATCTCTTCTACACAGCTGCCCTGGGAAGGGGATGCGGGCCCTGCCCGTGCGGCCAGAGGCAGGACCACCTATATATTTGAGGGGTTCAGTGCAGAATGAAAATGTGGAGCTTCTCGTTCAAAAATTAAGCATTTCTTAATGGTGGCAGCCGAGTAATAAACCAAGTGTGGAGCCCTTCTGAGCACAGGGCCCAGGGCAATGCGTAGATGGACTGTCTAGGAAGCCAGCCATGACTGGAGGAGACAGGACCTGCTCTTAGGAGCTCCCAGGTTTTATTTGGGAGAGAGGATTTGACCCACAGCTTGCAGTGGGAGCCAGGGATGGGCAGACGGATTCCCCCAGTACAAGATCCACCTACACCATTTCTCAGGTCACAAAGCCTTTTCCCACACCTCGTGCCAGGGTCCTCAACCAGCTCTGTGAGATGGACCAGGCAGAGGGTAGGGCTCTGCTTTACTGATGAAGAGCCAGAGGCCCTCCGAGAGCCTGAGCATCTAGGTTGCCCTCATCCTGACGGACAGGCAGCGTGAGGCGCTGAGATGGGCCTGGGGGGTTCCCGCGGGGGCAGGCGGGCTCCAGCGCCCCCGGCAGCCTCTGGGGCTTGTGGCCAGGCCTGCTTTGCCTCCACCCCCACCCAGGCCTGCCCAAGCCCGGCCTTGTCCTGCTCGCAGCACGGAGCCCGACAGGCCAGGATGGGGCGGCCAAGGTAAACAGAGGTTTCCTACCTCACGGCCGCTGGCCCAGGAGGGAATTCCGGGGAAAGCCCCGGCACACTTATCACTGGCTCGGGGATGACAGTGTAGCCTCCCCCTGCCCCTTCCAGAGGCCTGGATTTGTGCTCTTATCCCCGCCACACACTGCATCCCTCACAGGGGTGAGAGTGACCCCTCCTTGGGGCCGCGTTGGGAGAAATGGAAGGGCGAAAATAGAAAATGACTTACGTCCACATGAAGACCTGAACCCGAGTGTCCATAGCAGCTTTAGTCATTATAGCCCCAAACCGAAAACAACCCAAGTGCCCATCAGCAGGGGAAGGATAAACAAACCGTGGTATGTCCGTACAGCAGAACATTCCTCAGCAATAAAAAGGAGCATCCTCATATGTGCCACAGAATGCACGACGCTTAAACCCCTGGTGCTGCGTAAAGGAAGCCAGAATCGAAAAGAGCCCCTACTGAGCTATTCTACCTCCATTAAGTTCTGTAGCAACAGAGCAGATCCGTGATTGCCAGGGCTGGGGGTTGGAAAAGATTGACAGCAGAAGGGCTGGGAGGGAACATTCTAGGGTGATGGATTGGGTGGGGGAGGGTAGTTGCATGCATTTGTCAAAACTCATCAAACTGTATGCCTAAAATGGGTACATTTTATTGCATGTAAATTATACCTTAGTGCAGTTTGATTTAGAAGAAAAGAGAAAAGAGGTAGGAGCCAGAGGTGGCGGGCCCGCGGCTGCTGTGGGTGTAGCAGTTGCAGCACCAGCAGGAAGCGGGGCAGGAAGAGGCTGAGGACCAAGGGGAAAAGGCCCAAAAGGATGGAGGGGAACCAGGGGTGTGTGATGCCTCAGACACTCGGGCAGGGGGACTCCAGCCGGGTCATGGTCTGTAGTTGGGTGAAGGAATCCAGAGCCATGCCAGGTCCAGGCAGTGGGAGAAGCTGGCTTGAGAGCCCCTCCTGTGGCCTCCCCACGGATACCTGCTCTCTCTCAACCTCCCCAAGACAGTCCAGTTGGGCCAGCCTAGCCCTGTTCCAGCCAGCCTGAGAGGCTGTGTGGCATTGGGTGAGTCCCTGGGACACCAAGTCTGGCCCACATGGTGTGGGGAGGTTGGACTGAACCCCGCCATGGGCAGAGACATGGCCCCTGCAACCTTGGGACCCTGAGTGGCCAAGGAGACCCACTGGAGCCTATGCCGACCCCCTTGAGGGCCCAGGCTGGCCTCCAGGACAGGCACGGTCACCCTCCATGCTCACAGAGCCACTAAATTTAGCCAGGCAGGGGAGGCCATCCTGGGGCCGAGTGCTTGGCAGCACTGCCTTGTCTCCCTACAAGGCCTGGCTCAGTACCCGAGCCGGCCATCCGGCCTTTGGGCTTATAAGGCAGGTCTGGCGGGTTTTAAGAACTGGAGTCTTGGGGTGGGCTCTGGGCCAAGATCTCAGACTTTGGGGAGCCTCCTTCCCAGCCACCAGCAAACATGGGAGCTACTTGTTACGTGACTTGGGCAGGGCACTCACCTTTCAGAGCCTCAGTGTCCCTTACCTGCGAAATGGGAATCCTCGGACCTGTATCATGTAGCTGCTCTAAAGAAAAACCTGCAGAATTCCAAGTTTCCCTCACTCCCCAACATGCCTAGAACAAACACAGAAGTCTGTCCCTGGGGATGCTGAAGTCAGGGCCAAAGGAGGGAAAGCACAGTCCATGTATTTTAGAACCAATGAAAATGGGGGGAGCTTCCTGCCTTACTCTGGCAGAGATATTCTCAAGGAAAGGAATTTGGAGAAAAAAATGTGATTGCTTTTATTTCTCTTTCTTTTGGGCACTTTTCGGTTATGATAACAACCCCGAAAAAGACTGTCCTCTGGGGCATCCTGTTTTCAGGGTCAGAACCGAGGCTATGACAGGAGCACCTGTGTGTGCTCCAAGCAAGTCTGTCTGTCCATTGGTCCATCTGTTCATCAGCAATCCTGGCTCCCTGGAGAAGGAAGAGGAGGAGGGAGAGAGGAGGGAGAGAGGAGGGGGTGGAGGACATGATGATGATGTGAAAGGGACAGATACAGATTGGAGAATGACTCCTTGACTTCCCCACACCCCCCTTCTCCCTCCCTTCCTCCTCACCCCTCTCCCTCCTTCCTCCCTTCTTCCTTCCCCTTCATCCGCTCATTTAGTCCCTGCCACCCTCCGAGTGTGGTGTGCGTGTCTTGAGAAGGATGGTGGATGGGGACACAGAGATGCTCTGACAGTGTCAGCATCCACCCCACTCCCATGGCAAGAAGTTCCTGTCCCGGGTCTGCTATTCCAAGGGCCATGAGGTCAGCTGGGAAGGGGACAGGATCTTTTGTCTGGGGTCAAGGTCAGGCCAAGCGGATGTGGCCACCACAGCTTTGGCTCCCAGCATCTCTGGATTTTTCTTGGAAAAGCTCAGGACGTGATTCTCACCAGCCCCTCTTGAAGGTAGCATCATCGGACAGACAGCTGAGCCTGAGATTGCTGGGAACTCTGCAGGGATTGGCCTGAGGAGCAGGAAGGGGCCATTGGCCTGCCCTCTGTGGAAGCCCCCTTCTGTCCAGCGAGTGGCTCTGCTCAGACAGGAGGCTGGGATTCCCAGCCCCGGGGCCTGGCTCCCTGCCCAGAGCGATTTCCCAGCTAAAGGCCTGCCAGAAAGAAGCCTCCTATCAGCCTTCAAGATGAGGCAGCTTGGACAGGGGGTGTGAAGGGAGCCCCAAGGACACCCAGCCTCGGTTGAAAGAGGGCCAGGGAGGCCTTCCTGCTTCATACTAGGGCCTCCTGTACCACACAGTGAGCTTGGGCAATTCATTTCTCCTCTCTGAGCTCCAATTTCTTCATCTGCAAAATGAGGGGGAGGTTGGGGGAGGCCTCCAGCTCCGGTGCTCAGAGAGCTAACACAGAAACTGCCCCGGCCCAGCCCTGCCTCAGGGCCTGGTTGGGGCTGAGGGCACGGGCTGCAGAGGAGCTGTACCCCAAGTGCAACAGTGCCTCAATTTGAGGAAACTTCCATTATCGCCACCATTTCACAGATGAGGAAGCAGATTCAGGGAGTGAGGCAACATACCCAGGCCCCCACAGGCAGCAAGAGCCATTCACCCAGGCAGTGTGATGCCATGCTCTCCCTGCTGGTCTCCAGGAGCCCAGCGCTGATGTGTAACAGATGTGGCCCTTGTCTTGTTGGGATCCCTGCCCCTCGTGCTGGTTTCAGGGAAGGTAGAGGTGGGGTTAGGACCAGAGAGGTGGGAGAATGGAGATGCCAGCCCGACACTGAGGTTGACTGGGGACAGGCCAGGCTGGGACCCAGAGGGACAGGTGGATGGAAGATGGCCTATAAGGTCAGGGTGGGGGTCCTGCCACGGGTTCAGGAAGTGTCAGGCAGCTGGACCGGGAGCAGCCCTCCTGCTTCTCTGCCCTCCTGGCTGCAGACCCCCGGGGCCTGAGCTTTCCACCTGTGGGCCAAGGTAGGGTGGGGAGGATGTTTGGATAGGGGGATGGGTCCCTGTTTTGGGGAAGGCTCCAGCCTGTGGCCACTCCACCCACGCCCTGGCCTGGGCCCCCAGCTCTGTTCTACCAGGTTTGTGGGGGACTGACAGCTTTATC